CCACTTTCCAGGGTGCTTGAGATACTGATGTGTGCCAAATGCTATAGTGGTTGAGTAGATAGCAAGCACAAAGCGAGAAAATGGCACCCTCTGAGATGAAAATTAACCGGACCCTATGAATGAGTTTTATTAAGGCCAACAACCATCCCAGCGAGTTAGCCCTGGAAAAGATTGCAAGAGAGTGCGTACGAGAACAAGGATGTTTGAGTGAAATGCAAATAACGGGAGACAAGCTGTGTGGCTTGCTTTAAATTCTATGATGTGAGTCACACATGCCAAGGTAAGGGTGGTGGCAGCAGAAGACAGGGAGGGTTGTAACGTGAGCAAAGAGTACGGGAGTCTCCAGTCTTCTGGGCCTGGGACAGCCAGTCCTCATGATGTAGCTGGAGACATCCAGGGGTAAAGAGCAACTCGTCTGGCTAGCTCAGCTTGATGCAACATTCATAGGTAGGCTGAATGAAGGCTGTCGTGAATATGCGCGTTTCTTTTTACTGACCTCCTGCATCTAGAACACCGCCTGACCCTCGGTAAACACTCAAAATGTTTGCTGAATGAATTAACTACTATTTGAGGGCATACCAAAGATCTTCTCTCTGATTCTGATGAGGTCTTCCAAGTGGATCTATTGAGCAAAGATGGGATGTCCAGTCCCGTGCCCCTGCCCAGGGGTCACTCTAACTTTCATGTCTTTCAAAACCGCATTTTACTTTACCGGATTTTGTGAGATTAACCAATAAAACCACATTCTTTACTGCACCCGCAAAGCTGAGAACAGGGTGGTGGGCCCAGGCTGAGAACCTCATCGTACATAAAAAAGCCCTGGGGCAAGAGGCGGGAGATTTGGTTCCAGTCCCTCCTGTACAAAATCTGTGATGCTGAGCGAGTCACTCCTTGTACTCCACCCTGCCTTTTCAGGTCCTAATCCTACCGTTACTGCCCAAGGTTAGTAGTTCATAAACTTGGCTGCACATTAGCTTCGAGTGATCCTGATGCCCTAGGTGCCAGGCCGAGGAATCAATCTCCAGGTCAATGGAACCAGTCTCTTACAGGGGACCCAGACATCAGTATTCATAAAATTCCAAGTGTTCCCAGTGTATAGTCAAGTTTGAGAGCTGGTAGACCAGGTGACCCTTCCAGCTCAAGCATCTGTGAGTCCAATCGGGACTGAGCCTAAATCTGATGGGGGCGGGGGGGGGGTGCTGAGCTACCCGTGTGAATTGCCCCCGGAAGGCTGGGCCAGCTGCTTTCCCTCAGCATCGGGCTCTTACCTCCACAAGCTGGTAGCCCTGTTTGCAGGTGACAATGAAATAGTCACGGAACTGGTATTGAGGCTGCAGGTCCTGGATGATGGTGAACTTGTCTAGGGTCTTGGGCTGGGGGCACTTGATGACTGTTGGGGAGACCAGAGGACATATTCATGTCAGAGCCACTGTCTCTTCTACCCATCTGATTCTGCCCCAGTGCTGCCTAATGGGAGAGGGGCCCCCAGGAAATCTTACTTTCAGTCGTATAATGCAGCTTCCAGCCTCGGCTGTCCCCCGAGTCATCCGTGAAGAACAGCAGATCCACGGCATTGCTGCTGCTGTCAAAGTCAGCGGGTCTTTGCTTCCCACAGAACTCGCCGATATTCCTCCCACTGGCGTAGATCTGGTGGGGAAGAGGTGAGGGCCATCTCTCTAATTCAGACATTTCCCCACTGAGCCAGGAGGGCGGCGGTGGTGGGAAGTCTGCTTTTTGTGTATGCTTTCAGCTGGAGGGGGAAAGGGATCCCTAGGATCCACACCCAGTTGTGTGGGAACTTGCCTAGCCCATGTGTGACGTTGGTCATTCCTGTCCCGATTGGCCAGAGGATCTAGCGGGAAGCAGGGGTGAGGGGTGCCGGGTGAAGAGGGGAAGGAGAGGAAGGGGGTCTCTCAGGGAGTAGGACGGCTGTACCTGTAGCTGGTCATAGGGGCAGTGCACTTGCTGGTGGTCATCGATCTCGAAAGGTTCCAGGAACTTGAGGTGGAGGGTGAGGCCGCGCTCTACCCGGATGCTATAGTTGCAGCGCAGGTCAGGGGGGTAGGGCTTGGGGTACTCCAGGCTGGAGACGTAGCCCGATGGCTCCGTGTACAGCTCACTGCTGCACTCGGCTGTGGGAGCAGAGCCGGGTGTGGGGGGGGGGGTCACCGGAGACTCTCGGGCTGGCCAGCAAGCCCTCGCTCCATCCCTGCCTCCCTTCCACAGTGCCCCAACCTCACCCTGGCAGGAATGCCCATTCTTCTGAAGCTCATAGCCTGGACGGCAGGAACAGAAGTAGCCACCAGGATAGTTATGACACAGGTGCTGGCACTGGGGCTGGAGATTCTCCTCAACCGAGTTGCGCTGGGCGGCACATTCATCGAGGTCTGGAAGAGATTCCAGAAGGAGAGGTTAAATTCCTGCCGGGGATTTCTGTACTGGCTCTGCTCTCAGAGAGATCACTCACCGGAGGCCGAAAGACAAAGTCTTGGCCACCTGAACTTCCACGCCTGTCTAATAATGTCTTCTGGAAATCCCCCAATGGTGACAGAACCCAGGTTGGCAGGCCCCTTTTGGACAAAGCTCTCTTGAGGGGAAAAGGAAGGAAGGACAGGCTTCCTACTCCTTTGGATTCAAGATTCCCCTTTTCTGGTCCCTAGTCCATATGACTAAGGCCAGAAAAAAAGGCACCCAGGGACCACTCACCCACAGCTTGGTAGTAGGCCAGGAAGCCCTTGTAGAACATAATGGTGCCGTTCTCCTCATTGGAGAAGTCTGTGTGGAAGGTCAGCAGCATCTTGTTCCCTTCAGACATAAATTCCTTTGCTTCTGGGGGGTTGCCCAGTGGAGAACCCAGTTGCCCACAGAACCTCCCCAGAGTTTTCTTGTCAGCAGAGATCTGGTGGAGGAAGGAGAAGGGGCAGGAAGAGGAGCTGTTAAGGAGACACATCCCGTGAGGAAGGTCAGTGAAGGTCCTCCTCTTGTTCCAAAGAGCGAGTGTCCCAAAGAGTTCCACTCTACTGGTGGAATAGCCTCTGCCTGGTTTCTGCCTGCCGGGATCTGGCTGTTGTAAACTTCTCCCCACCCTGGCGGGACTTCCATGGTGCATCTGAGTCTCCCAGTGGGTAGCTCCTTGCATGTCACCCTGTGCCTGGTACATCCTCTCTTCCTTGTTCTACGTCCCCCAGCACGTTTCAGACCTTTCTTCATTTCCACCACCTCCTGTGCTCGTCTTCCACTGGAATTCTGGTTGTCTCTACCCAAGTCTTTAGCATTCCTTCATTCCGAGAGCCCGACAGGTCTGCTTTATTTTCTGTCTAGTTACTCCACCTCACCTTATGCAAACCATTCACATCCAGTCATGCTTCCTGATAGACTCAGCTGAGAGTGAGCTTCTCCAGCCTTCATATCGGCAAGCATCGCCTAGAATCCCTTATCTTTCCTTTCGTAAAAAAATTTTTTTTAAGTTTATTTATTTATTTTGAGAGAGAGAGAGAGAGAGAAATTGAGAGAGAGTGTACACAAGTGGGGGAGGGGCAGAGAGTGGGAGAGAGAATTCCAAGCAGGCTCCACGCTGTCAACGCAGAGCCCGACTCGGGGCTTGATCTCAAGAACCCATGAGATCGTGACCTGAGCTGAAACTGAGTCAGATGCTTAACCGACTGAGCCACCCAGGCGCCACCCCCCCACTTTATCTCTTTCTTCACAGGTTCCTTAACCCCTCAAAAGTGGAAGACATCCTGCCCCCACCCCATCCCTCTCTATCCTTACCCCGGAGACCCTTCCCCCCAACCCTGCAAACTTCTCAAGTCCTCTGGGTTAGGAAGATGTATCATTTTCTGATCATTCTCACATAGCCTCCAGAGGGTATACGCTCCTGGGAATGGTATTTATCGGATGTGTGTAGGCTCTACTTGGATCCTGAACCTTAAATCTCATTTTTATTGGATATAGAAAGTTGAGACTTGGAAGGCCCTCTTGGTTGTTTCGAAGGTGAGGAGACTGAGCCCATTGACTTTGCTGAGGGCTATGTTTGAGCTACTACTGCATACATTTCTCTTCCCCATGTTCCTGTTTAGGCAGGCAGCCATGGTGATATTCTACATGGAAACAGGGAAACTGAGGCACAGCTGTTTTCCAAAGACTCCCAGAAAGTCAGCAGATGGGGAAGGTTTTTCTGACTCTTATGGACAGTAAATTTCCTGGAAGTGGGACCTGTATGTTCCTTCCTCCGTGTTTCTCCCTTCAGTGCTCACTGAGGGCCTCTAAATCCAGTGGACCCCCCCCCCCAACATCCAGGGTGTCACCTGACTCTCAGAGCTCCACTTGGCCATCAGCTCTTGAAGGGCTAGGGCTCTGTCCATGTGTGAGGAATACTATCCAGGGTGGTTAGAACACAAGTCCTCAGTTTCCAGAGACACCCAGCTCTCCCTCTGCCCTCCCAACCCGATCCCATACCTTGACATAGTCATAGAAACAGGCTTCAGAAGGCTCCAGGTCAAATTGCCAGAAGACGAGCTTCACCCTGAATCCTGTGGGCACCGTGATCACAGTGGTTTTCTCAAAGTTGTTGGGGTAAGGCTTGGGGTACAGAGGAGAAGTCACTTCCCCAAAGAGCTTCTGAGAAATGGGGATGGAGCCTTCCACCCTACAGAACAGGATCATCACCAGGAGGTATAAGAGCCACCTGCCGAAAAGAAAGTGGGTGTCTGTAGGGCTGGAGGGGTGCAGCACCCTTGCCATTTTGGCAGTGACTGGGGTGGGGGCTGGGATGGTCATACCGCTCGGCATTTTCCACTCTGGCCATTCTAGACCTCATAGAGATGTTCTCAGTGGGGGTGGGTGAAGAGGGGAGGCTGGTCTCTGCAGCCGCTGCATTGGGTATTCCTCCCCCGGGGCAATGTCCAGTCCAAAGGTTCATCATACTCCCTGTCCTCTCTCCCAATCCTCCTCCCCTGCCCTCTCACAACACTCCCCTCCCTTTCCCCGAATAGGGCTGGCTTGGGACCAGTTAACTGAGGGTGAGGGTTTCCAGTCATGGCTCTCTGACATGGCTCCCAAGGGCCAGCAAAGGCCTCTGGGAGAAACAGCCTATAGAATATGGAGTCACACACAGAGCGCACCCCTCCTGGGCAGAGTGGGTCTCCCCATCTTGCTGCTCCCCTGCTATGAGCTGGGAGGAAGAAGAGAGCGTGGCCATCACCTCACGTGTGTAAGGTCTCCTTTTGTCCTCATGAGGAGGGATGGAAGGTATGTGTTTGCGTGTGCCCGCATGTGCATACCGGCATAAGGTAAGATATACGGGGAGGGGAAGGGTGTTCCTGTCTCCCTGAATAAATTTGGGAGCAGAGTTGCCCAGGATTCTCCCTTCTGGCTTCTCCCTCCCTCCCTCCCTGGGTCCCCATCAGCCTTACTCACATTTCTCCAGGCCTGTTTTTGGATCCTAGACTCTCCTGACAGCGTCTTCATCCACTCTGCGTTGAGGGAGACAGCGGTCATGCAGAGGAGGGAAGGGGGAGGGAATGAGCGTGGAGGGGAAGGGGGGTGGGAACCATTCCCGGAGGAATGTTGTAGGGAATGAACTATTTGCATAAACAAAATGAAAAAAAAGTCTGTTTCCAGTTGAGTAGAGTTTTGGTTTTGAAAACCCTGATGGTGGCGCCACCTGCTGGCCGATCTGGGGAAGGGCTAGGGAGACGGGCCTGAGTTTCTCCAGTGGAGACAGCCTTTGGTTTGGAAAACCCAGACCTCGCGGTTTCTAAATCTGATCTGAATTTTCATTTTCTTCAGGGACCGCCGTTGTCTTTACAAGGTTCCTACACCAAAGGCAGTGGAAATCGCTGTTGAGGGAGACTCTCTTTTCTGCATCACCTGTTCCATCAATCTGGTTCGTCCTGCCCTTAGTCACCCAACGGCCCTGGTCCGGGAATGGCTAGGATTTTCATGTCCAGGAACAACGAGGTAGAAGAGGGCATTGCAGGAGTGGACAGAAGAGAATGGAGTTTGTTTGCATTGGGGCCCCGGCCTATTCACCCTTGAATGACAAACACTGAACAGGGCTTGTTGTGTCAGGGTGACCCTAAAGCAACACTAGGGACTCTTTTAAGATGCTTCCTCCCCACTTCAATGAGCTCAGGCCTGCCAGTGAAGTTGGCTTTTAGAGAGGCAAGGGAAGCTGAGCGGGGGTAGAGACATCTCTTCTTCTGGGCATCTGGTCAAATATTGGAGCCCCTGAGAGTCATGGCTGCCTAGGGCTAGCCAAACAGCAGTGTGGCTGTGGACCAACAGTGACTTGGCCTTTTCTGAGAGAAAGCCAGGCCCTGGGGTGGGGGTGGGGGACTCCTATCTTTCCTGTGCTCCAGGACATAGTCTCCTAATTTAAAAGTATGCTGTCTGTGGAAGCCTTTCTTTCTCAACTCGCCATGGCTCAAATACCGTATGTGGCAAAACCAAAATACCAATATGGCACCATATTTTATAGGGCAGCTCAGGCAGAGCAGTCGTCTGAGTTTTTAGACCTTCGGAGTGTATCCCGCTTGTTTCTCCAATGAGATTAATCCCTCCATCCCTCCACCTACCTGCTCCACCTACCCACTCATTCCTCCATGTAGGGACTTACCTATTTTAATGTGCCAGGCACTTTCCCAGGCAACGGATAGCGAGGACTCACAAAGATGGGGCAGTTTCCCATTAGGCAGTGGCCAAGTCGTCACTGAATGTACTTAGCCGGCACAGGGAAGACGCAAAGTCAACCAAGGTGTGGAGGGTTCCTCCAGCAGGCCTGTACGTCAGAGCTGAGGAATGGATCTGATGGCGGGGCTGATCCATGACTTAATCCCTGCCATGACCCATGACCTTGTCAGGTTAGGAAAGGCAAAAAAATAGAGGAGAGGGATAAGGACCAGATCAGGAGACAAGAAAGACGGGGAACCTTGCTTAGCGAATTGCGCGTCAGCAGGCTGACAGCGCCGTGCGTATGTCTCGTGTGGTGTTCACAGCGGAGGCAGAATAGCAGAGGTTACGGGTTAAGGAGCGGTGGCCCAAGAAGGTAAGTCTTAGCTGAAGCTCTCCCATCCGTCCCAGGGATCCTGAGTTCTGTCCTGATGTAGACGACATGACTGGAAAGTGACAAACCTGGGGCGCATCAGCTCAGTCCCAGCCCCGCCTCCCCACTGCCCGACCACTGAAAGGAACCCTTGACTAACTTACACCAAGGATAGAAAGAAACAGCCAAATGAAGATTGCTTCTGCCCTGGCCTAAAAACCGGTATCGAAGATGGTCTATTTGATTGTTCATTCCTCTCAGGATTTGATTCTGGGGGGAAAAAGTTTCTCTCCTACAGTTATGGGAAGTTTCCTTCTGTGGATATATCTAGATCTAGACAGATGACTCTATATAGATATAGGTATATAATTTTTGGCTTGGCTGGGAGAAACATCATTTTTTTATAAAAATCTTTTAAAAATTATTTTAATTTTTGAGAGAGAGACAGCATGAGAAGGGGAGGGACAGGGGTGGGGGGTCAGAGGATCTGAAGTGGGCTCCTCACTGACAGTTGGCAAGCCCAACACGGGGCTCAAACCCACGAACCGTGAGATCATGACCTGAGCCGAAGTCAGATGCTTCACCGACTGAGCCCCCCAGGGGCCCCAATTTTGTTTATCTCTTCAAAAAAACCAGCTGTTAGTTTCACTGATCTTTTTTTTTTTATTGTTGTTTTGGTCTGTATTTCATTTATTTCTGCTTTAATCTTTTGTTATTTTCTTCCTTCTGCTAACTCTCTATTCTTCTTTTTCTAGTTCCTGAAAAAGAAATGTATTCCCATTTATAATAGCCTTAGTGTTTATTTATTTTTGAGAGAGAGACAGAGTGCAAGCAGGGAAGGGGCAGAGAGAGAGGGAGACACAGAACCTGAAGCAGGTTCCAGGCTCTGAGCTGTCAGCACAGAGCCTGATGTGGGGCTTGACCTCATGAACTGTGAGATCATGACCTGAGCCAAAGTTGGATGCTCAACCGACTGAGCCACCCAGGTACCCGTCATTTTTTCAATAATAAAAATAAATAAAATAAAACTAAGATATGCTCATTAAATACAGTTTAGCAAAGTTTAGCAAACACAAAAGACTAGGGGAAAACAAAACAGCCAAAATTAACTTCTGCTTAATATTTTTGGGTATTTTTTTTAACTTTTAGGCTATTTTTAATCGTCTTTTATACTATAGGTTTGAAAATGGCTTTAAAAAATCGACGTAACCACCTGTATGTACAACTTTGCATCCTGCTGTTTTTCAAGATCAATTCAACCTTTAACCACATAGCTAACTTGACCTCAATGTTAGCACATTGGCTCTCTTCTGTGTTCTCACATTAATTTCCTATTTCCGTGTGAACAACTGTACTTTACTCGAGTCTTGCGCTGTAAATCACCTCGAGTCCTTACTACAAGTTAAAGAGTTGGTCTTCTCAGGTGGAGCCTGGACCGGGGTGTCCCGTGGTGCTGGAGGCTCTCTGTAGAAACATCCAGCCCCGGGCTGGGCTCAGCTTGGTGTCCGCAGGAGGTGCGGCCGGCAGGAAAGTGTGAGCAGGTGCATCACGATGCATTTGTTAAAGACCTGCTTCTGTGAAGTGCTCTCTCTCTCCTGTCTCCAGAGACATTAAAAAAAAAAAAATCACTCTTGGGGTGCCTGGGTGGCTCAGTTGGCTGAGCATCCCACCGAAGCAGGAACTCCCAGGGGGCATCCGTAAGGATGTGGGGACTGGGTAGGGGAGGTACAGGAGGTCTTGAGGACAATCAGGAGGTATCATGGTGTACCAGAAAGCAGACGGCCTTCGCTGTCCGGTATCCGCTGGGGGTTTGGGGCAAGCCACTTTCTCTCTCTGGGCTTCAGTTGCCTCATCTGTGAAATGTGGCCCGTAACACATCCATGGCAAACCTGGTGTGAGGAGTCCATGAAATAACATGGGAAGCACCTGGTGTGCAGCAGATGTCAAACAGAACGAACTATTCACTTCGGTAACTGCAGCTAGGAGATAGGGTGAGGGGTGAAGCCGATACTTTGAACGCAGGAAGGTCCACGAAAGGGGCTTTGGAATGTTTCAGAAATGAAAGCATTTAGGACCGCATCCCTCATACTCCACGTGAACAGGGGGATGAGAAGGTGACAGACTCCCAGGAGAGTACAGAAGAAGCCATGTCAGCAGGAGATGAAGTTTATTATTACTATTTACTTTATTTATTGAAAAAATTTTTTCATGTTTTTATATATTTTTGAGAGAGAGAGAGAGAGAGAGCGAGCGAGAGAGCAGGGAAGGGGCAGAGAGAGAAGGAGACACAGAATCTGAAGCAGGCTCCAGGCTCCAAGCTGTCAGCACAGAGCCTGACGCGGGGCTCGAACTCCAGGACTGTGAGATCATGACCTGAGCGGAAGTCGGACGCTTAACCAACTGAGTCCCCCCAGGCTTTATTTTATTTTTTGAGAGGGAGAGAGAGGGCGCAAGTGAGCGAGGGACAGACAGAGAGAAAGAGAGAGAATCCCAGGAGGGGGAGAGAGAGAGAGAGAGAGAGAGAGAGAGATGGGGCTGGAGCTCACCTCATATGGGACTGGAGCTCATGAAGTCCCATGAGATGATGACCTGAGCTGAAATCCAATACTTAATGACTGAGCCACCCAGGCACCCAGAAGATGAAGTTTAGAGACTGAGCCACCCAAGCACCCAGA